TGATAACGCCTAGAGGCGGTGGAAAGACGAGCGCTCCAGGAATCACCGTCCATAGCTACCCTTTATGAAATTTAAGGAAAAGGAAGAGACTTTGGGATGCGATTCACTTGGCTCTGATCTCTCAGATTTAGAACCCTAGAAATGAACAATTGGGAATGAGACAGAAACAGAGACAGAGGCAGATAGAGATTGATATGGAAGAAAGGAAACGGCTTTGGGGTTGAGCTTGAGGAATTGAGGCTGATGATGATTGATGAAGGTGGTGGCGGTGATTCTGGTGAAAGACGAAGATGAAGAGGAAGAGGCAGAGGAAGAAGGAGGAAGGAGCTATTTAATCTCTATCAGTTTATTTATCTATCTATTATGGAATATGTATAAGCTGTATATTTCTGTAATTTCTGTAATTTCTGTAATTTTAGTTTTTTATTTGTTGGAGGAAAAATTGGAATTTATTGGAGGCAGAAGAATTTTGCGGTGAATATGACAAATGGCCAATAAAATAAGAAAACAGTGACGCCAAGAGAATGGAGAGAGAAAGAGATTGATAGAGAAGGGCTCTCTCGGTCGGTCCTCTCTCAGTGGCTGGCACACACCGTTTTACTGCTGAACCTTCTCCTGCTTGCTTACCGCTCTTCTGTGAGTTTTCAATACCTCCATTTTCACTTCGGTAGTTTTCATGACGTGCCACGTGGCCTCATACCAGAATATAATAAACCAAAAACTATTTAACTACTCAGGCCCAAGACCAGGCCCAAGGCCCAAAACCCAAGCTCGAACGCGAAGAGGACCCGCGGTCGTAATTGTAACACCGGAAACTGACGAAACCTTAATAACAAAGTTGAACAACAGCCTGAGCCTACCACCTCCTCTCTAACTGTCTCACCAAGACCAATATATAAAGCCATTTCCAAATTCGCCGGGGCACGTGACTCGCCGTCGCGGATCTCCGATCACGTGACCTCCGCCCAACCCGAGAGAGGACTTGTTAATTTTTCTCTCTTCTTTGTTCACCTCATTTTCATGAGAAGGCGCGAACCCGACTTCTTTCTTTGTCCGTTGTTGTTGGATCCGTAGATTTTGTGCGTCCGAGTCCGAATCTGAATCAAAACTCCCATGGCGACGAGGAACCGGACCTTGCTTTATAGGAAGTACAGGGATGCGTTGAAGACCGTCCGCGCTCCGACGAGCTCGTCCGCTTCGACGTCCACCAGCTCCGGCGGTGGTCCGGTCATTGAATTGGTCAGCACTTCGCTTCTGCATCCGAATCGGTCTTATGCTCCGCTCAGTACTGAGGATCCCGGTAATTCAAGGTCTCTATTTCTCTCTCTATCTCTCTGTATGTAAATTGAATTGAATTTCTTTTTGTTTAATTTGAGATTTAATTAAAGTAAAGTTTGGGAAATCTGATTGGGAAGGGAAGTGTGTTTTACTTGGCTGGTTAGATGTTGAGTTTGGTTTACGAGAAAAAGATAGATAAAAAATAGTAAAGAAATGAAACCTTCAGATTGTGGAGAAAGCAAAAGCCTTGAACTGAACTGTGGTAATGCATGTTAGGTGACACTGAATTCTGACACATACATAGGAAATTGAACGCCGGATTATTAGATCAGAGCCATTAAGTCATTCGATGTTGGATGGATGATCAATAGCTACTAGCTACAAATGCACAATTCAAAACTGGCTGGTAAGGATAGACTTATGATTGCTGGAGTTGAGGTCCACGAAGATATGGTATAACCGTATATGGTTCCCAGAATGTGGGATTTTCATATTTGACTGACGTGAGTTCTCGAATTGTTTTGGTCCTCCTTTGATCCTTCTAATCTGTAAGGTCTATGGAAAGCCTTGTAGATTAGTTTTATTAAGTGTGAGATGTTAGGTGTTGCACGAAATGGGGAATGAATTTTGTTTCATGAAGAACATTATCAAGTCTTCTTCTTACTAGTATGCACAGGAAAAAAGCAATAAATAGCTGCAAGTATGGATGTTTCTTTATTTCGGAAGTATGACTGTCATGTGTTTTTATTGCTGCAGTAAGGGTGCACTTACTGTTGGTCTACCGCCGGCATGGGTGGATCTATCTGAAGAAATAGCAGTAAATGTGCAGCGTGCACGGGTAAAAATGGCTGAGCTGAACAAGGCTCATGCAAAGGCTTTAATGCCTTCATTTGGAGACGGTAAAGAAGATCAACGCTTGATTGAGGGTCTTACACAAGAGATAACTAGTCTGATCAGGAAATCTGAGAAGAGACTACAGAGACTCTCTGCAGCTGGGCCTTCTGAAGATTCAAATGTTAGAAAAAATGTGCAGGTATGACGTAAAAGCCATTAGATATTTTTGGCAGTGTAGTGAGTCATAAGGTTTTCCTAACTTGGGTTTATTCCAGAGTTTTACACTCAGCTTTATATATAAAACAACTGATCCCAAAGAACAGTGCTAATGTCTGCATGATTCTTTTGCAGCGATCTCTTGCCACTGACCTTCAGAACCTCTCAATGGAACTTCGCAAGAAACAGTCAACTTATTTGAAGCGTCTCAGGCAGCAAGCAGAGGTCTGAAAGAATTTTTACCTTTTAACGATTCAAGACAATGGATAGTTATGCTTCATAGCTTTGTTTTAACATTCTGTGGTTACTCTGGCTTTGATAATCTAGTTCATACATAATATTGCTGTTTTCTTTTTGGAACTTGGAATTGTATTTTCATACATTCATTTTGTATACTGAGGAAAAGTGTGACATGCCTTGGTATTGAACACTAGTTAACATTTTTAGTTATATTATTTCAAACATTCCTTTTTTGTTTTGGGTGATATAGGGTCAAGATGGGGATGATTTAGAGATGAACCTAAATGGAAATAGATCCAGAATGGATGGTGACGATTTGGATGACATGGTAAGCTCTCTCCTGTTCATTATAATTTTTTCAAGATCTTTTCAATCATGACAAGTATGAGGACACCCAATTCCCTAGACCATGTATCTGTAGTGTTGTTCAATAGATCAAATGTTGAATACATTTTTTACCTTAGGTGAAAGTAATATGATAATAATACACATATCCTGTCAGATGTTTAATGAGCGTCAGATGGCCAAGCTAAAGAAAAGCGAAGCATTCACAGCAGAAAGGGAAAGGGAGATCCAACAGGCAAGTGAAGATCTTTACACATGATCTTTGTTTTTACACTGACCCAACCCTTCATCATACTTCTTTCAGGATTGACAAATACTCTTTTCCCTTTCCAATAGGTTGTGGAATCTGTGAATGAGCTTGCTCAGATTATGAAGGATTTGTCAGTACTAGTGATAGACCAGGTTAGTACTCATGTCATTTCAGTACATGAATTTTCTCAGAATATCAGTCACTATCTAAACATCTTTCTTCAAACAGGGAACTATTGTTGATAGGATAGACTACAACATTCAGAATGTAGCAAGTACAGTTGAGGATGGCCTCAAGCAATTGCAAAAGGTCCCTTTATCTTCCTCTTCTTACATCGATCATTGTACTTCATCTATAAGTTGTTTTTAGCTTCTGTCTGTGTTTGTTCTGATGGCATATTATGTTTAATGGATTGAGCTTACAGGCTGAGAAAACGCAGAAACAAGGGGGAATGGTGATGTGTGCTACAGTACTCGTTATCATGTGCTTTATCATGCTGGTCCTCCTAATACTCAAGGAGATATTCTTGTGATCTGAGAGCGAGAGGACAGTTGTTTCCAGATTTTGGTTACATTCTAATTGTCATAACCTTCCCTTCGGACTTCTACACGTGCAAAGATGCTCTCCCTAGCAGAAGATTAGAGGAGTTTTGGAGTGCCCTAGTTAGTTACATATACTACATTAAGTGACTATTTGTGAATTCCTCCATATTTTCTGGGTATTAGTAAAAAGAGAGTGGGAAGGGGTAATGGTTCATTAGGGAATGAATGCCGTGGAATTTGTATAGAGCGTAAAATACATGTTGTTCCTTGGGGAAGGGTGATTCTTTCAATTTTCATTTGCCGGGATTTTGTGTTTTCATTCCCCACAACTCATATGTGTAAGATGAGGCTTTTCTCTATTTCATTGTTAGTTTGATAATTCAATAAAATAAAATACATCAATTTTATCCATCCTCCTGGATGTATGGCAATGACACATACGGGCATGTTACTATATGGCACACCTGAATAATACCATGTGATTGCAATCAGAAGCCTGCTTGCTAACCAAGTTGCAGGACTTCCAAATTTAAGCCCAACCTACACCTTACAGAGATAAGTGAATGAAATCGTTGATTAAACGAGATGAGTGAGTGAAATCATTGATTTAACGGCTATAAACTGCGTTCACATTGAATGCAAATTCATATTCTTTGAAAAATCCTACTTAATATTTGTTTGTGGTGATGAGCTTATAACCGAGGGGTGCCAATCCAACATCTTTGCAAAAATGATAACTGAAAATAAACAAAAACAAAAACAAAAGGTAGATTTTGTAGAACACCTGTTTAAGATATTGTGGAGAAATGTGTTTAGTTCGACTCAAATCTCAGCGAATCAAACTTCACATTTCGAGTTTCCGAGGTAAAGGAATCGAGCATCCTTCCATTTATACATGAGTACGAGAAAACATTAATCTAGGAAATGGAAACTTTCCTTTCCCATTATGCTGCTTTTCACTCTGTTAGCTCAACATATTAACAACTTTTCTGTCTTCAAGGATGCTCAAAGCCGACAATAAAACCGCAGAAAAAACTCCAAGACCCAAATACCCCTTTCAAAATATCAGAGCCCCTAAACTATTACCACCTGAATATTGTTGTTCAGAACTTCAAAAGACTGTCTTAAGAGTTCAATCTTCTCAAAATCCCAACCAACACATGCATACATCAGATAATCTTTGTGATTGAATAAATATTGGCCGTATGTTTATCTAAAAAGCAATGTATTACAGTTACAATGATCAGATTTTTTCTTTTCCAACCCCACCCTACCTAACAGGTGCCGTTACTGCCTTCAGAGGAATCTACAACTCGGACCTCAAGCTCTGCAAGAGGCATCCCATGCCACTGGATCATTTGATTATTGGTTACAATAATACATTTCAGTGCTGCTGAGAAGAAGCATGTCTATCTGGAACTCTTCTTCTTTGGAGTGCCAATTTCTGAGGCTGTGAAAGCATCTTCAACAAGGCTAGCAAGCGGGAGTTTCAGCATATAAGTCAACCTTTGAAAAACTGCTGCCAGCACCTTCACATCTGACATGGCTCTGTGAGCTGAACCATCCAATGGAATCCCAAGGTGCTCACGAAGGGCTTGCAATGATATGCTTCTTGAAGAAGGCTTTGATCCTGTTCACAAAGTAATTTTAAAGCCTTAGATATCTCATCAACCACATTTTTACAGGGTGGAGCATGCACACACACACAAACTGACCTTCAGACTTCATTGCTTCACGTCCCATAGGAAGGGTATCCTTAAATAGCCAATCCGAAGGAATATCTACACCACAACGCCGGAACGCATTACAAAGAAAGGGTACATCAAAAGTACGAGCATTGTGAGCAACAAACAACACACAGCCTCCCGGTTTTTGACGGCTTTTGACATACTTGAGTAAGATTGGTATTAGGTCCTCCATCCTACATGATATTCACAACAGCAAAACCATAAGTAAAACTTTTGAAACTGTTCACAAGCGTATATGTCTACATATCACATACACAAACGTATGCTTCTCAAATTTATTAAGGAAAAATTCTACTAAAAAACTTGATGATGCTTTGTATATAACAAATAGTTCTATCTTAGCTTTTACTATATAGGAGGATGCTACAAACAAGGGCCTACATGGGTGGGTCCATAAGTGGGCCCAAGCCCATGAATGGCTGGGACTGAACCATCACCGCCATAGCACCTCTCTTTAAAGGAACTGCTACCTCCTGAGTTTAAGTTAAAACAATAACTGACGTCTTTAGAGTAAAAAGTAAAGAGATGCAAGGGCTTATTCTTCAACCAAACCAAGGAAGCACTGTGCTTCCATGCAGGCATGGACAAACCAAGAAACTTCAGCGATCTTTTCTTCTGATTGTAGTGGCAAATGCAAATTTCACATTATATTTAACTTTAGGAAAACCATTTTAACCCAGCAGAAAAGAACGGGAGTGTTTCCAATTAAAAAGATCACTGGCATGTAACATATTTTCTGTAAAGAATTAGGCTTCATATAAACAAATTGAAAGGTTTTAGGTACTACTGAGCTGATTTCTGTACTAGAAGAAAATAATCTAGGAAGTAAAAAAGCAGTCAGGAAAGATTACCTCGGAACATCAGGTCTGTTGACCATATTTGTTGTAATTCCATGAATGTGTGAATTTAGAACTCTGCATTCAGGGTTTACCAATGTCTGGAAAGTACTGTTTTCACCCCCTTGAAGATCTTGAAGTGCAATCTCTATGATATGATCTCTCTCTCTGCTAAACCCGGTAGTCTCAGTATCAAAAACAATAACTGTCACTAAGCTGGCTAAATCTTTATTCTGAGCAATCAATTGTCGAATGTCAATGTGTTGAATCTGTTGGTATTGACTTGTTTCAATTTTATTTAAATTCAGAGTAGCACTTGTTGAAACCGTTACATCCAAAATTTCTTGCCTAAGTTTTCTGGGATCACTGCACTGGCCACTTTTGTTTCTTCCTTGTGTGTTTGTAGTTACAGATCTTCTAGTCCATTTCCTACTGTTTCCTCCATCAAGCATATAAATTTTGGAATCATATATCTTAGAGCTAGAATTGTATCCACAAGTCCTACTCAAATTGTGGAAACGTTCACTCCAAAAATGAGCTAAGTTATAAATTCTGCATCTGGGAACTTGCGAAAAAGAAGAGAAGCACATTGAAACTGTTCTCATCTGAACTCAAAAATCACCAACAGCAGATAGATTCACACTATAGAAAGCAAATGGATTTGACCTGAAAATTAAGATGGAAAAAAGTCTACGATGAAAAATAATGACAATAACCAGTACCAATCAATCTACTACCTCAATAACAAGAGCATTCAAGCAAGGACGACTGGATTAGTAATCCACATTAAACTATGGATCTTAAGACTATTGATGAAGAACAAGTTTAAACTGACATTAATTATCAGACCTTGCATATTTTCTCAAATCATAAAAAGAAGTAAAGTAAGGATATAAAAAAGACAAGGACACGCATGCTTTCACGGTGGTTCTAGGAATTTCATATTATCAAACATTTCATGAAGTCCAACCTATGCCCACTTCTACCTCTAGCTACATTCTCCACACACGGACACATGTCTAACACCAGAATTCCATTTTATTTGGAACCTGGAAAACCAATTTCACTTTTACGAACTAATTTGAACTATTTGGCAAATATCATGTAAATTTGCACCTCAACTAAAACATGATCTTATTATTCAAATTTTCATAACTTTTGAAGTGTATTATAATGAAATAGACGTTAAAGGATTATCCAAGAGCTGTTTAATCCTCCTATATGACAGTAAAGATACTCAAACCCCAATCAAAACATTCATAGGTAACATTTCAAAATCAATCTATGACAGATTGAAAGCGAGCACAGGGGGAAAGGAAGGTCCTTTAAGCTCATACAGAACAATTAGGATTGTAAAATGCAATCTCGTTCACATAAAACCCAATCAAAACATTCATGGGTAACATTTCAAAATCAATTTGTGACAAAATGAAAGCGAGCAGAGGAGGAAAGGAAGATCCTTTAAGCTCATGCAGAACAATTAGGATTGTAAAATGCAATCTCGTTCACATAAAACCCAATCAAAACATTCATGGCTAACATTTCAAAATCAATTTGTGACAAAATGAAAGCGAGCAGAGGGGGAAAGGAAGGTCCTTTAAGCTCATACATAACAATTAGGATTGGAAGTAATCATATTTACAACAAAACGAAGGAACCCATGTTAGGGAATAATGGAAGCTCCTTGATTCCAATGTAATTTGCATACGAAATTTAGAAAACAATAAGTTTCACTGAAATTTGCAATCTTTCATAACAACTCTAAACCAAAGCAATGAGGTAGAGAGATAGCGACTTGCCTGGAAATTATTTGAATTGATTAGCAGAAACGTCAAAGATGAAGTATTTATAGGTAGAGATGGTTAGAAAGAAATGGAAAATGAGTCGTGTGGAGTGCTATGAAAGAAGTTTTGAAGGACAGAAGAAGCTCATAGTAACGTGGTAGAAATTGCGAGTACCAATGGCTCTACTTGCGGATCGCGTGTTCGATCCGATTTTGGCTCCAATGTCTTTTTCTTTGAGAGGGCTGTGAGCCTGCCTGCCTTCCTTCAAACTGCTCACTGCACCAAACTTTTTTCCCACAAATTTTTATTATATATTTTACAAAATTATCTAAAAATACGAACTCGGGTTTTTTTTAAAATAAAAAAAGGGTTGCGAGTGACTTTAACTCCAGTAATGATTTTATTTGTTTAGATTTTTTAGAGGAACGAAGACAGAGATGGGTGGGGTGAATATTAATTTAATGATTTTAAACTCAAATTATTAGATTAGAGTTGGTCATTTGAAAGTCAATTCAACACATTTGATTAAAGATGCAAATCCTTCTCCTATCCAAATATACCATCCTTCAGGGTTCAAGTCAATAGTGGCATTTTAATACACAAGGGAGCATCATGTGGTATTATTCTTGCTTGAGATTGTACGGCAAGCAATATGAACCTAATCTGGTACAAGTAACCTTATGCCAATTTGGCGTGAAGTTTGAAGAACCCCAGTTATTCTCTCTCTTTCTTTGCTTGTTTTTCTGCTCAGATTAAGGGCAAGTACGTCGACAAGCTGAGTAATTGAATTGACTTGAGCTAGAATGGGGCTCTGCATCTTTGGACAGAGAAAAGGTACCTGTCCATATAACAACTCTCAGACTTAAATATTGGGCCCGTAGGGGCCTGCCTGGTTTGTTAGCTCCTATTTACAGGCAGCCCTCAAACCATGGGCATTTGGAAAACCCTTTTGGTTTGCCCAACATGTCACCATTTTCAGAGTCTTATTGACTTTCGGAGTCTTATTGACAGGGAGGCTAAAATGAGGGGTTATTGTAGGAGTTCTTAATAACCGTTCGATCCAGTATAGAGTTATGATTTTAAAATGTTGTCTTGAACCTCCTCATTGTAATTTATAACCCCTCATTATAGAAGCTCTCGCCTAACATGTCACTATTTTCAGAGAGTTCATTACAAATATTACAAGCACCTTCCTAATTATACAGTACTGATAGAAATCAATATTTATAGGCAAATTTTTTAAGTAATTTAACGCAAAATTGCAAAGAAAAACACATGGTCCAAAATCCCTCAAACATTGTATTTTGGTCAGACCAAACATAAAAGATACAGATTACTCATACTTCCTTTAATATGTACAATATAACTAAGATAGTACCAAAATACAGGAAATGTCATTGCCTCAAAACCATCACCCTCAACATCTTTGACCTTCCCTTCATTTCATTTTCACTTCCCCAAACTGTCACTAAAAAAAGCAACAACAAAAAAAAGGGAAGACCCCCAAATATCATTAGCAAGGGTACAATCTTCCCAAGTTATAATTAGTCAAAGTAGCTACAAAGAGCATCATCACAAGTATATTGGGGTTTTAATTTACTAGTATATACTCCTTCACATTTTGTCCCCTTCATGCAAAAACAGAGTCACATGACATAGCCAGCAAACACACAGCTGCTTGTTCCACCTCTCCCCACTCCCTCCACTGGCTCTGTTTCTCCCCCTCCCCCTCGGCCTGTGAGCCTTGGAAAAACACATCCTCACCAAAACCCACAAACCTCACCTTAGGAGGCTCATTCAAATTTATGCCACCACCACTACTACCAAAAGTGCTTTTGGCTGTTGTGGCAGAAGCAGCAGTATTATATGTGGTTGTGATAGAACTGCTGCTACTGCCACGTATTTTCTCTCTCCTCCTCTTTGGCCCTTTACTCATCAAGCTCACAGTAGGAATTCCTCTCTTCCTGTGTCTGATCCCACATGCATTGCACAGTGACTGAAAAACAAAAACAGGAAAAGAAATTGATCCATGAAACAACTTCAACAAAGGCAGATGGAGAAAAAAAAAATGAACAAAGAACAATACTGAAAGGAGAGAAATGCCAGAATTTATTAAACAAATCAGAGCCGCAGATAAAGAAAACTATGAACAGATGTGTTTCACCTTTTAGGAAAAGGGGACAAAAATAAGAAATTACCAAAATAAACTGAAGGTTTGAGAAATAAAGAGCAATCATCAAATGAGCGCAGCACACAGGAAACCCAGAGCATCAGAAATCATACAGAGAAAGAACCGAGACATGGGGCCCAAAAGATCAAATCCAACACAAAGTAAGCACCATCTTATAGCAAAAATGAACAGTAAATGAAAGAGGGGGACCCAGTAAACAAAATCACAAACAGAATTCAAAAATCAATGCATTATAATGCATTCAGTTGAAAAGCACAAAGGCAGGAAAAGATGATGGAGAAAATCCCAAAAATCAAAACAAAAGGCTGCATGAAAAATTGTCTAGAAAACAAACAAGCATGTTAACGAATGGTGGGTGGTCGGGTCAGACCTTGGGCCCAGCTGGGCCACCTCTCCACAAGGGTGTCTCAGTGGTCATGCAGTCCGAGCAGCGCTTCTTGTTCCCATTCATAGCTTGAGTAAATGGTTCCTGTTTCCAAATTCATGTAAGGCAACAGATTTTACTGAAAGTTCAAACAAAACCCAACAACTGGAAGGAAAAATAGAATGCTCTCAAATCACTGTACTATCAAAAGCCACTACCTTTCTCCCCAAAACACTATCTAAAGCCACAAATCTTCTCCCCCAATTCATCATACACCATAAACCCACCACAGTAGCTGAAAATTTCAAAAGAGAAAAGGAAGCGAGAGAGTGATATAGATTGGGTTAATTGGTTTTTCTCAGAGAAGCCAAATGAGATCATATATGTGAAAGCAGCAGAGAGAGAAAGGGACTGATCAAATTTGTAAAAAAACTTAGATCAAAACCCAAAAAGAGAGAAAATGCAATATACTATAACGAAGCAAAACCGACATGCAAAGCAGAGAGAAGAGGTGGGGGGAAAGAGAGAGAGAGAGAGAGAGAGAGAAAGAGCGACAGAGAAAGAGAAGAGTGGGGCTCAGTCGGGTCAGGTAGTGTGGATATGAGCCATGAACCAAAAACCCTAGTGCTAGCCGCTAGGAGGCTAAGGGGTTTATGTGAAATGACGAAAATGTCCATAAATTTTCACTTTTTTGCTGGAGTTGCATGCACCCGTCAAATTCCGGGGGCAGCCACGTGGCAACGTGGGTCTTAGTTTTATCAGTCGCGGGGACTAGGGGAAAAGTGATACTCGCTACAGGATTTGATGTGTGTGGATGTGAAGTTTGATGCTTGGGGAATAGTAGGAAGGCATGCTTTGGTTTGTTTGTGGCTTCGAAAACCAAAAAGCTGTGTTTTCTTTTTTATTGCGAAAAGGAAAATGGTGGTTCTTAACATTCTTTTGGTATGTGCAGTCTTATGGGTCCCCAAAAGATGAAAGTTTCTGAAAGTTTCTGTTGTTTTTGAACAAAACCAAAAAGATAAAAACAGCAAATGCACTGTGTGGTTTGGTGCCTTTTGTGGTTAGATAATGGGAGCATTTTTGCTCACCATTTTAATAATAGGTGTATCCTCATCACCATTCTTAGTGCTTGACACGTGTCTATAGATATAATTATAATTAATTTTTGCTTTGTATTTATGAAATCATTATTACATCTATGGACACGTGTCAAGTATTGAGGATGATGGTGAGGGTATACCTATGGTTAAAGTGGTGAGCAAAAATGCACCCGTTAGAGATTTGAGAAATAAAACAGAAAGGAAATTTTTAGAGTAGGAGGACGTGGAGAATCTTGAGCATGCAGCCAGCGAGTTCTTCTAGACAGTGGATGATGCCCTAAGCATGATGCAATATTATATTGTAATTAGAGATAATTGATGGCTTGTGATTAACTGTTATGGTCAAAAAACAAAGAAAGCTTGTATTGTTTGATCGGCTAATAACAGGAAGGAGAAAGAAAACAAAAAGAAAGCTCTTTTTTAAAGACAATTCCTTCCTTTTGTCTCGCATGAAAGGGAAGACATAAAGCCGCCAAAAACCCATCATCGAAAAGGGCCACATTATTATGTTAAGGCAACGCCAGAGTCACCCCCCACCATTCATTGTCGTAAATTTGTAAAGCATGCAATTTCCAACCAAAGCCACCAAATAGAAGAAAGTTCTAAAAATTAAGTTTTAGGTTTATTAAATTTGCTTCGACCAGAAGAAAAAAGGTTTATTAAATTGTTATGTCTGTTCACTTGCATATTATCTTCACGAGCAGAAAAATTTGTATAAAACAGAAATAACACTATTTAGCTATCTCATGCCATTTACAAACTGCCACAAGAAAAAATTATCACGCGTAACATATTATGCTTGACCGGAAATAGCAAATAATGTTATCCCATTTCATATTAAGTGTTACTTCTTCACGAGGTTTCAAACTATTGAAGTCACAAAAATTTTCCATGAAAAGATGTGAGCCTATCAAATCCAAGTCCTCTCTCTCTCTCTCTCTCTGTGTCTCTCTCTCTATGTAGAAAGAGTGTATCTTTCAACCTTCTAAGAATAAGACACGACACAAGCTAACTAGCTATCCTCTCTTCTCTTGCCAACAGGCTGGTTTGTCACTATTCACACTGTCTGCAGCTTTCAACAACATAAGAAGAAGAAGAAGAAGAATGGCCTAAAGCTGGCAAAGCTCTTTAGAATTTGTTTTGTGGGGCAATTTATTGCATAATCAATTTGTGCAAGCAAACAATAGATTTTATGAATCCCATCTCATTATAAGATTCCATCTTCCCACTTCCACACCTATAATGTAAGAGGGCCCACAACACAAACACGTGTCATCATCACACATCCACAATGGATAAGGAGAGCCCATATCTTATAATCTCCCACCCAATCCAAAATGTACGAGGAAATAAAGAGTGGGAGACTACAAGACAAATGCGTTTTTATTCCTTCATATTCATATACGACAATTTATAAATCCAAATAGAGAACAGGGCATAGCAAGAAAACGATTGCCCCACCACATTTGTGTCTTTTGAGAAAAGAAACCAAAACGAAGATTTTATTTGCTGGCTGGAGCTATAATATTGGCCTGGGCTTCTGCCCAGTATCACTTCTAGGCCTAAAGTCTTTACAGCATTTCCTAATTTTACTGAACAGACAGAGAGTGAATAAGCAAGCACTCTTCTTCTCCAACATAAAAAAGATTCAGACAACTTTTAATTATATATAACCAATAAAAAGGTATACCATTTGGCAATATATTTTACCCAACAAATCTGGAGCCCAAAAAGGGAAACGGACTCAACAGCACATAACATACAATCTCGACAGGAATAGAAATCCTTGCACTAGGGTTGGAATGAAGGAAGGAAAATTATCATGCAAGTTTGGGAGTTCCAAAACACTTGTGAACAACTGTAGGACATATGACCGACCAATACCCACTTATATGACACAACTAAACAAATGGAAAACAAAATAACAAAAGCTCCTAGCATCTTGCTTCATAGGATAGCCCGACTACTCTCCGAAAAACAACTCCAGTTTTTTCTTTCTTCTTTCAATCTTTGTTGCAGATAGATGTCCATCATATAATCAACCCATGGGTGCCAGAACCAGTTTAAACCACAACTGTTGCAAACACCTGAGCCAGCCACCCAACAAAAAACCCTACAAACAGGACCCGAACATATAAAGACGCCTGACCTGACCTGACCTGACTGGATTATTGCCTTGCCATACTCAAGGACTTCGCTGTGTAATGATGAAGATTTCTGCAATTGATGGAATAATACATATTCAAAACGTCAAAACACCATCCACATCCAAACATGAAATTGTATCATTTGTGAAAACAGTGTATAACCTCTAGCTGAAGTTGAATCCGCCGGATGGGACAGTTGGCATGCCACTCCCTCCAAAGTTGAACCCAGTTTGAGAAGCATCGCCTGGTGGCATTGTTTCATCTTCATCCTCCACCCAATATGTCTCAAGAATCTTTACTGCTTTCTCATAAATCTCAGTGTTGTCATGACTCTGTAGATTCTCAATTTTCTCTAACCCTTCAGCATCATCAATCGCCTGAGCATAGAGATTTACACCTCCAGTAGTGCCCAAGTTCTTCTCAGCTTCTCCAACCTTCAATATGTTCTCCAGGCCTTCTAAGCAAACCGTAACAATTCTAGGATCGGGGCAGATAAGAAGATCACACAATGGCTTGATACACCCTTGATCTACTAGGATCCTGTACCCCAAAAAAATAATTTAAAAGAAATCAGCCAACGAGAAGTTGCACCCTATTATAAAGCAAAATTAACAATATCGTCTTCATACTTTATCTGCTCATGAGAACCACCAGACGTAGCATTTGAGATTGCCCAAGCAGCCTCTTTCTTTATATCAAACTCAGCACCTTGAAGCAGACTAACAAGAGGTGCGATTATACCAGCATCAATTACAGCCTGTTAAATTCCAAACGAAATTGGTAACATCAATACCTCATATGCCAGACTTTACAGAAACTCTAAACCAAGTTTTAAGTTTCAAGATTTAAATGTCAACATATAAAGAAAGAGCATATCTTTGCATTACCTTAATCTGATCCTTGTTTCCAGCTGTGATATTTGAAATAGTCCAGCAAGCTTCCTTCTTGATGCTCTTTTTATAATTATTAGTCAAAAGGGTCAGCAGGCAAGGAAGAGCTTGATGTTGGATGATAACCTAGGAAGAAACCACATCTCATTAATTCCTAAAGCAGCAAAAGAAATGAGCTGATGGAAAAGGGAGGGAAATCTGTTTGTTATTCCAGTAAAACCTAAATTATTATCCCAAACTACATTTTTCTATATTTCCTTTGTGTGCATGTGTTTACTTTAGTTCTATAATTAAGGGTACAATGTCTGCCAAGCAAAGATGCGGACCATGCTATCTAGGATCAACCAAAGAGAAGGGATAATATGTTGGGTCATAAATCATCTAAAAACAACACCTAAAAGGGAAAACAAAACATACAAAATGCCAAAGAGCAAACAATACCTGAGTTTGCATATCATCTCCAGTAACAATATTTCCGACTGTGCGGAGGGCAGGAATGAGTACTGAAGGAGATGGATGACTGAAAAGACACATAGGAAGGTCAGAATTTATAGCACATACTAAGGGTTAAAAATACCAACAGGGAACCATGAACACTCACAGTAAAAGCTCAACAAGCCTGGGGCATACTCCAGATTCAATAACAGCTTGGATTTTGTCATTTGTACCATCAGAAAGATAAGACAGAGCCCAGCAGGCATCGGTCAATACTTCTTCATCGTTTGAATGAATCAAACGTGCAAGAGCTGGAAGGGCAGGCTTAACCTGAAAAAGAAAAGAAAAAAAAACCACCATTAATGCATTGACACCATCTGAACTGACTTTGCATATATAAGATATGGGCTATGATGCCAAAGTATTTACAACTACAGGTACTATTAAAGCCATTTAACACCTAACTTCAGAATCTTTCAAGTCAAACATAGCTGAAGACCCCTAACCTGGTCAAATGGAGGCTGTGGTTTGCCCCTGCAAAAGTTTGACAGTGTCCAAGTAGCGTTTCTCAGCATAGAGAGCTTTGCATGCTCATTCAGCTGTGAAAGTAATGGAATCAAAGCCCCATTGCCGAGTACAAGATCACGGCATCTAGGGGAATCACCAGCAACATTTCCCAATGCCCAGACAGCCTGCAAGTTCAAGAGGAAAAGGGATGGAGTAAGTGACAGTGAACAACCAAAGTACATAAATAAATAAATTACATGAGCAACAAAAAAAAAACATATAACTTGAAGCAAAACCTTAATCTATCCTCTCAATGTTTACCTGCTCACGGACATCATCACTTGGAGAACTAAGCAGTTTCACAAATATTGGAACAGCTCCATGATCAATCACCACCTTAGTGTTCTCAGATGTCCCAGAAGCAATGTTTGTCAGAGCCCAAGCTGCCTCAAACTGCAAGAAATTGTGAGCAAAGAATGTTTACACAGGCATATATAAGAAGGTATCTATATTGCAGGAAAGTATCAGACCTGAAGTTGTGGAAAATCCTCCCTCATTAGAAACTCAACAAAGCGAGGAACGACACCCGATTGTATGACTTCCTCAATCGGAGGGCTACGTTCTAGTGCATGGAAAAAGAAATGAATAAGGTAAATGCAATCTAATGTATACAAAACAAATGTACAGCCACAATCTTCTACTCACCAATTGAAAGCAACTTCCTAAATTGAGTAGTTGCCTCAAGCTGCAGACTGCTCTCATCACTCCAAACACCAGCAACCATAGATGGTAGATGCTCTAGCTGTATTAAAAAAATTCAACCATAATTAGTACAATCCCCAACAAGACATCAACACCACCAGAAGTAAAAGCATAACTAGTACAATTTACAGGCAACAATTTTCCTTCATTTTCAAGTATTGAAGATTGCATAAGGTTTTTGACAATTGCAGAACCTAGTAATGCTCAAAACTAAAATAATTAATACAAATCATATATAGAATATTTCTGCCCATCGATCCAGAAACAAAAAATGAAGGCATGTTATTCTTAGACACTTAGGAGTGTATTAGCAGATTGAAATATAGTAACTGACTTACCCAGAAAATACCAATCATTCATGAGCAGCAACAAAATGGCACTATAACCTCAACACAGTTCAGTAACTTCAAAATCTAAACAATTCTGAACCCTCAGCAATATCTGAAACTATAATAGAAGACAAGACTAACCAAAACAGCAACAAGTCAGCATGTGGTCTTAAAGCCAACCAAATATAAAACACTCACCTCCTAAAGTCCTAAATTGATTGCACTAGAGTAATCGGCATGCATTTAGCAGCCGCACAAAGGATAAAAACTATTAAGCGCTTATCAAAAACTCAATGATCTCATACCCCCAACTTCAGTAGTCTGATTAACTCTCCAAAGAATCAAACCTAAATTATGACATTTACTCAACAACAAAAAACGGTTCTAAACCTATCATCTTTTCAGCTAAAGGAATGAAGTATAGTTGAAAACGTATGATAATAACCAGTAATCAACCAATCCAATCTAATTCCAATCAAAACTAAAGCGGCAAAAGCATAAAGTACCCAAAAAAAAAAACATACATTTATCTTCATCAGTAAAACCCAATTCGACAAACCTAATAAACACCCTATTAATCAGTTCAATCAAAACCCCCAATCACCTAGAATGGGAAATGGAGATATAGGAGGTAAGGCCAGTCAATCGGAACCTCAATCAAACATTAGGTTACCTTCTTCTCTAGGCCGGAGGAGTGAAGATTAGAGGACAATTGCGGAGGTTGAAGGCCCTCGCGACGTTTCTTCTGGAGGCTTTCTTCTCTGCGGTTCTTCCTGATCTCCACCATGTTGTCCTCCCTCCGCCGACGACCCTCCTCCGCGTCAATGAAACTAAGAATCTGAAACCCTAAGAGAGAAGCAGAGAGATGGAGGGCGTCTGCGGTTCTTCCTGATCTCCACCATGTTGTCCTCCCTCCGCCGACGACCCTCCTCCGCGTCCACGGCCACCTTATACCTGTTCCGGCGGACCTCCGCCCTCGCGTTCGGCCTCAACGACATCGTATCGGTTCAATGAAAATAAGAATCTGAAACCCTAAAAGAGAGGCAGAGAGATGGAGGGCGATAGGGTTTTAGAGCAGGAGAGAGAGAGAGAGAGAGAGAGGGTGGATTGTTTAGTTGGGACTTCGTAGTGGTTTGTGTTTTGATTTTTGAAGTGAGAGAGGGATGGGAAATAGAGACGATTTTATAGCGCTGGTAGGGAGTGGATGGTAGTGGACTTTCAGGCTCGGATCGGCAGGTTATTACGGAGATTGCCACTTGGTTTGAATTTGAAGATGAGGGAAAAAGTGTCATTTTCTTGGTTCGACTGTCCGATGATAGATGATAAATTTGTTTGTGAACCGGAAATGCGGCCCCAAAACGATCACAATGGTTTGGTTTTTTTTGTTGGTCAAATAATAATAGTCTGGTTTAAAAAGTTTTGACCAAACCTTAAAAGAATTCGGATGTCATACATCGGTCAATTATATAAATCATTCGGACATTGAATCAATTAGTTGGTGCAATTTAGATCAATGGGTACTTGTTTATCATGAATTTAGGAGGACTCCAACCAAAATATGACAATTTTATTATAAACTTTAAATGACAATTTTACATTATCAAAATTGAAATTTAAGTAAGTTCAAACATTTGAACTTGTGCAAAAACATCGTCAATAAATTGATTTTAGTTTTTTTAATTATTCGGTTAATGACTACACATTATAATGTGATGACAAAAATTTATCTCGAATTTGTGTGCAGAGATAGCTTCAAGAGTAAATTCTAGTAATTTTATAACATTTGTGTGGGTAAAAATGTAAGCAAATGCTACATATCGGTAATAGCGGCAATTAATCCAAATTATATAGAAACAAAATTAATTGTTCAAGAAGAAATGGTAATTCTAGAAAACGAAAAAAACAATATGAATCGGACTTAGGTGTATACATGTATTTAGGTGTGACGCCTCCCCAAGTGGAGATAAAAAAACAAATCAAGGGCGGATGCAAGGATTGAGAAATATAGTCCGCCAATTAAACTTTTATTATGTATCATAAGATTTTAAGTATTTTAGCTTGAATTTTACTTGCATACATTATACCATATACATATTATTATGAAAGACACTATATGTTATGTTCATATATTATATTATTGGTTCAACATATTTTTCACTGGTGACAAAAAAATTAAAATTTTATTGATAGAGATGGGGAACCCGACACACAATGTAGAATCGGATTCCCCGGTTGGTTGGGAAATGACCTACCTATGGGCATGAAACAAAGATGATGATAGGAAATTGTTGCTGGCAAACTGACCCTTTTCCGCTCCATTTATATTCGGCCCATGGGCTTTTAAAGACATAAGTTTATTCGGCCCATCAGCCCAACAATACTTTATATGTATCATTGATTTGCCAAACTATTGGCCCAATAAACAACTTTTTTGCAATTTTAGACCAAAGCCTCTCATAAGAATTCGGGCTCATTTAAGAGTGATTTTGGATATGCCAATAATCATTTTTATTGAGAATATTTTTCCCATATAATTACTTTAAGTGGTTTTAAGTGATTTTATGGAGAACAGGGACGGATCCAAGATTTCAAAATAGGGTGGGCTAAATTTACCTTACATACAAACCTATTAAGTCCATCTCTAATGCTAGATAACTTAAACCCAAGATTTCTCGATCTAAAATAAAACTATTCATGTATATCTCATACTCAACTTTATTAATTGTTTAAAAATGATTTAACTCTAAAATATTTTTATTTTTTTTTATATAATTGTAATTTATTTTCTTGAACATTTAACTTAAACAAAATTCAAATTTGAGAAACAAAATTTTGATTTATAAATGGTATAAGGAGATAAAAGATAACATTTATCACCTCTAAAAAAATATAACATTTATTAACCAAGGTGGTTGGTGTGAGTGGTCCGGCACTCTCATTCCTTAAGAGAGGTCAGGGGTTCAATTCCTGCTCTCGTATGAAGTCACCACTTTGGCCAGCACTTTACTCCTTACGGGCCGATCCGGTGTGAGCGGGGATTAGTCTGGGTTGTCGTTAAGGCTTAAAGGTGCCACCCATAGTTGGAACCCATCCAGGACCACCTCGTGGTTCAGACCAAAAAAAAAAAAAAAAAAAAAAT